TGGATGGATGGATGATGGATGGATGGATGGATGGATGGATGGATGATGGATGGATGATGATGGATGGATGGATGGATGGATGGATGGATGATGGATGGATGATGGATGGATGGATGGATGATGGATGGATGGATGATGGATGGATGGATGGATGGATGGATGATGGATGGATGGATGGATGGATGGATGGATGGATGGATGATGGATGGATGATGATGGATGGATGGATGATGGATGGATGGATGGATGGATGGATGATGGATGGATGGATGGATGGATGGATGGATGGATGGATGATGGATGGATGGATGGATGGATGGATGATGGATGGATGGATGGATGATCTTTATTACAATGAAACCCTTCAGACTCTAAGCTGTCATCCCTCTATTGTCCAGTAGGTGGCAGAAAAACGCTGAAAACGTGGAGCATCAGTTTTGTGTGTAAAATCAAACGTCTGTTCTCAACAGTAGATCAAAACTAGATGCTGTTTCTGTCAACATGAAGGACAGAAACTGAAGAAGTTATGTCTTAAATAAATTTCACCATTTATTGCAGAAAACATGAAGCGTGAATGTATTCAGTTTACCGTACTGAGTAAAGCCAGTTCGGTTTTGGACGCAGTGGTACCTTTGATCATGCTGACGTCGTTGGCTCCATCACCGATAGCCAGAGTTACCGCCTTCTTGTACTTCTTGACCAGCTCCACCACCTGGGCCTTCTGCAGCGGCGTCACCCTGCAGCAGATCACCGCTTTACACAAACACGCCGTCCTGAGGAACTCCAGCTCCAGGCTGCTCTCCAAGGCGTACGCCTGACCCACAGAAACAGGAGCATTGCTCATGAATATCCAGGTTCACTGATTCATTGGCCAGTAGAGGGAGCTGTAACGTACCAGGCTGTGTCCGTTGATGACCAGTCCGTACTCCCCATTGGCCTCCTCGTCTTCAATCAAATTTTTACTCTTCTCCTCTGGCAAAAGCAGGCTGTTTGCTGCTCCGTCTGGCTTCATGGAGTTTTGTGCATTTCTGCTCCAAAAATCAAAACCACAGCTGCTTAAATTAGAGCTTGAAAATGACTTGGCTTCATAAGGACATTAGAAACGTTCCTCTGACCTCAGTTCTTGTCGGACATCCTCAGGCGAGTGACCCGAGACGATGAAGACGTCTTTCATTTCCTCCCGCAGCAGGTTGCATGAGTAGCCGATGTTTTCTGCCGTTTCTAAAAGACAAACTAAAGCTGAACAAACAAGACTGGACAATGTCACTTTTTAAGACCTTTAAAGACCTTTTTCTTGCCATCTTCAAGTTTTGTCTGATGGAAAAAAACTGCAAAATGTAAGACCTGTGATTACTGCATTTAAGACCAACTTACATTTTATTCATTTTAACATTTTGATTGGACAACTGGACACCTTGAAGAAAGGTGAATTGACGATGGCTTTTTATCTGAAATAGCTCATTTCAAACAAAGTTTTCCATGAAATACCTTGCTTGTCACCAGTCAGAACCCAGATTTTGATGTCTGCTTTGGCCAGTTGCTCAATGGTCTGAGGCACTCCGTCCTGCAGCTTGTCTTCGATGGCTGTAGCTCCCAGCAGCTGCAGACAACACAAACAGCAACACGCATTAAATCCAGTCCTGCTTTTATCTGTTTTACACCAGGTATTTATTCCTCTTCCTACCAGCAGGTCCTTCTCTATCTCCTCGTATAGCTCATCCAGTTTGCTCTCCTTGTCTTCCAGCGAGACGCTCGCCTCATGGTGGCGCTGTCTCCACTGAATGAAATACTCCTCGTCCAAATCTTTGTAGGCCAGAGCGAGCGTCCGCAGTCCCTCCCCTGCAAATTCCTGCAGATCAACATGCACATACTTATAAGGATGAGCCGTGAAAACATGCGTCTCTGCAGCGAACGCAGCAGCGATAGCATCTGAAGATACAAACACAGTCAAACTCCAGCTGTGTAAATCATAAAGATTCCCATCTAATAAAACCAACAGTGGGAGAAAAGACAGACAGTTTGGTTCTGAGTGTTTTTTTCTGTGTCGTAAAGAGGATGTAAGCTCACAGACATCAAGTGGACAGAGAGAAGAGGGAAAGCATGTGAAGAATGTGATCTTTGTACAGAACGAACCGACTCTTGAATGAGAAGGTTGTGATGACTGGCAGAGTGAGAACATGTAGTGACCAACGTTGTAGCCAGCAGATAAAAGCGAGGCTAGCTAAGCTAATTATGCTACTTCAGCTGTAAGTACTCCAGTAAATATTGCTGATATTTATCTTAGTATCACACAGAGGTGGGTGGAGTACTTAAACAAATTGTCGTAAAGTACTTATATTGTTTTTCAGTTACGTAGGAACGAGGCAAGAGCTTGTTGTTGTCATAGCAACTCCATAGCAACTGCCTACCAAGATGGCTGCCAGTTACAAAGTTCCAGGAAGTGTGACGTCACATGAGAACTATGTATGTATTGATCAATTGACGTTGATCACGTGTCTCTTGCGATATATATTGTTATTGATTGATTGATTGATTGATTGATTGATTGATTGATTGATTTCCCAGCCTGATCAGTCGTGCCAACAAGTGGAAACCCAACATGAGGAGGAAGAGAAGCTTCACTGACGTTGAGGTGCTCCGTGGTGACGTCCATCAGCTTGCTGCAGGACTGGTGCAGCCTCTCGTAGATGATCGTGTCGGCGCCTTTGCAGTAGAGAGAGAGCTTCCCCTCCGGACTGCGCACTGTTTACACACACACACACACACACACACACACACACACACACACACACACACACACACACACACACACACACACACACACACACACACACACACACACACACCAAAGTCTGTGTTTCATTTAGCTGGAAACAGAAACTAAACGCCAAGCAGCTCAGAAAAAGCCAGGCTTCTCACCGATGACGGACATCCTCTTGCGGACGTTGTTGAAGTCGAGGATCGCCAGCAGTTCGTAGCTGCGCTGATTTCCCATTTCCACGATGGAAATGCTGTCGGGGGTTCGCGAGCGGAAGACGAATCCAAAGTTTCTGGCCGCCGTCACGAGCGCGCCTTCGTCTGGAGACTGGGCCTGATAGAGAAGCTCTCCTGCAGGAGAAACAGGGTGACTTCCTGTTCCAAACCACAGAGAAACGCCGGCACTTTCTCCACCCACCTTCCTTCTTCTCCTCGGCCATGACGGTGTGGCAGAGCGCCAGCAGCCTGAAGAAGGCGTGGACCTCCGGGTTCTCCAGCTTCACCGCCTCCACCAGCGCGTGGTCGTAGAAGACGAACCGCGGGTCGGCCAGCGCGTTGAAGGAGAAGTCCACCGGGTGTTTATGCTGCAGGTCAGGAAGTAAACGGATCTCTGATCTGACGACAGGATGAACATGACCCAACAGCAGCTTCTGACTTAAAATGAAGCTCAAACCTTCTACAGAACATCACAGCTGCTGTTTTTGAGTCTTGTATTTCAAAATGTTTTATTATAATATACATTATTCCGACTTTATGACTTTAGTCTGGTAATACGACTATCCTCCTATTTACATTTTGTAATATAATGACTTTATTCTCCTGTTATTACATTTCAATTCTGTTATTAAGCTTTTATTTTTATGTTAAGCCTTTCAAACAAATAGTTTTTCTCTTCGCTTTGCCCTAAAACTACTCAGATAAACAAGTAAATTTAATTTTATTAACTTACCTCAGAAATATCAAGTCTCTGACCTGTGTAGTCATAAACATCTCCTGCAAAAGCAAATATACACACTGAACACATTTCAACAAATAAGTAAAATACAGAATAACAATAATAACAGCATGAAGGAGCGAGCGAACGCCCTGGATGTTGCAGAAGTTTATTTTTCATGTCAGTTTAAAACCAGCAGAATGAGGCTCTTCCTCTCACCATAGGACTTCCCGTTGATGGAGCATTTGTTGAAGATCATGATGTTCTGGGTGAGCGTCCCCGTCTTGTCGCTGAAGACGTACTTGATCTGACCGAGCTCCTCGTTCAGCGTGGTGGTGCGCGCCTCGGCCGGCGTGTCGCTGCGGGAATAATACATCTTCCTGTCCCAGTCGATGTAGAAGCTGTTCCCCAGACGAATGATTTCCACACTGCACAAAGACGCAGCCCATATAACATTTGGTGCTTTTTTTATGTTAAGTGGTATAAAAGTGTCTGGACAGGCCACCTGACGTAAAGCGAGATGGGCACCACGGTGTTGAGGATGATGATGTAGGACCAGAAGGTGAGGAAGGCCGAGAAGCCGGCGTTGTCTTGTCTCGGCAGGAAGACGGTGAAGTTGGAGCCGTTGTTCACCTCCCAGATGTAATTCCCGATGGCCAGGATGGTGCACATGAATGCCAGAAAACCAAAAATCTACAGAACAAGAGCAAAAAGCTTCTTTATTGTCAGGGATTTGTAGATTTCAGCAACAAGGCAGTTCAAGGTGCTTTACATCATAAAATACAAAGTCATCAATAATTAGCATCTAGCTGAGATCAAAACGTTGCTTAGTGTCTCATTTATTATGTTTCAGAAGAAACTTGAACCAGCTGGTTTATTCCAGATCTAAAGGAAGTCAGTGTTTCAGATGTTTTTCAGTTTTCTGGAAGTTTGTTCCAGATTTCTGGTGCCTAGAAGCTGAATGCTGCTCCTCTGTGTCTGGTTCTGGTTCTGGATGCAGAGCAGAACCAGAACCAGAGGAGCTGAGAAAACCCGTCTCCACTTTGACTTTTATGATTTAGTGCCATGTACTTTAGTTTAAGGCCAGACAATCAGAAAATAAGTCATTATGTAATTGTGAAAAACAGATTATTTTATTTAGGTTGTTCTAATTATTCCCAACTAAATTCATGTTTAACCACCAAATTTATTGGCAAATTAAATAAAATCAGCAATGATGCCCTTAATTTAATTAAAATGTAATTATTATTATTATTATTATTATTATTATTATTATTATTATTATTATTATAGTTTTAATCCAGCAGGAACCAGGTCGCCTGGTTCCAAGGTTGTTTTTATTTTGTTATTTAAACTTTTTTCCAGTTCCAGTCTTAAAATGTCTTCACAAAATTAAAGTTTATTGGTCTACAAGAGGAGAAGTTTGCATTTTTTATTATTATATAAAGTTATATAATTCATTGAATTACTGGGACAATTTATCATCCAGCAAGATGTTCCAGTTATTGGGCGTCTGCCCCTTTCTACTGCCGCCCTGGGCAAACACTCAGTTACTAAACAACTGAATAAAACAAAAAATGTTGGATAACTTGTTAAAAAACATTTGGGTTTTTTAAAAAGTTTAAAACTCACACATAGAACCAGAACGTTCATCAGACGGTCGATGCTGGTTCTCTTGAAAGTGCTTTTCCCACTGTTCTGCATCAGCTTCGTCTCCTGACCTGCAAAACAAACAAAAAACTGGTCAGATTTTCATTTATTTTAGTTTTTTATATTGAAAACCTGAGCGAAGCGCCTCGCTGACCCCCGAACAGCACCAGGCCGAAGCACCAGTCGGTGTTCCTCAGGGTGCAGCCGCGCAGCAGGATCTTCTCGTTGTCCAGCGGGTATTTCTGACCGGCGAACGCCAGCGTCCCGTTGAAGCGGTCCAGACGATTGTTGGGGGGTTCGCAGCGAACCTCGCCTTAAACGAGACACAAACGCAGAAAATAGTAAAGAACTGTTTCAGCACTTTTTAGACCCTTTTTCTAGCTTTTGGAAGTGGATTTTAACAAAAACGGAAGAATATCACTACTTCTACAAACGTCTCCTCAAGTAAAGTATTCGGTAAAACTTACTGATCAAATTGTCAATCATTTAATGCTTAAAAATTACATCATCAGGTGGATCTAAATATAAAGTTAAGGGAATAATTTGACAATAATTCATATCAATGACAAAAAAATAACAAAATGAAGCAAATCGGTTTTTTTCAATAAAACACTAAAAAACTGCAGGTTTGTGTCTGAATCTGGTGAAGTTTTGGATTAAAATATGTTTGTTTTTCATTCAGTGGGCAGAAAATGCAGAAGTTTTACTCTATAAAGAGTAAAAATAGTTTCTAATAAAATTACTTAAATAAAAGTAAAAAGTACAGCGCAGTAAAAATACTTCTTGAAAGTAATGTTTTCCCTAAAGTTACTAATGTAAATGTAATGGAGTAAATGTAACTAGTTACTGGCCAGCTGTGATTTCTACCATTAAAATCTGCCAGTTTTTCGATGTCGTCTCCCAGGTCCCCAGTGACGGGAAGGGCCTGCTTGACCTTCAGGTTGGTCTCTCTGAAGAAGAGGAGGAAACAGACGGAGGGAGAAGGGAATGAAGAAATAAGTGAATTATTTTCAGCAATGAGTTACGTTTCAAATCTAAAAGTTAACTGACCCGTCCAGTTCTGCCGTCTCGATGTACACGAGGTTCAGGGGTTCGCTGCTGGAGAGCAGCAGGAGGTCGGCCTGAAATAAAAACACTTTCCAGTTTCCATTAAATGTTTCCAAAGTTTGTTTTTGTCACATAGAGGAAATTATGCTAATATTTAAATCAAACAATAGTTTTAATCATTTCCTAGTCGACTCTTTGCCGTGTTTTATTTCAGTGACACTAACAGAAATAAAGTCAGTTACTAGACAAGAGAAAACAATCTCTTGAGTCATTTTTATTCACTGTGTGACTAAAAGGTTTAAAAACACTTAGTCATTAGAGAACAAGGCAAAATGCAGAGGACCAAGTGCACAACCTAGAGGAACCCCTCCTTATATGGAGAAAAGACACAGTAACCACAGTACAGTGAAGGCATATAATCCAAACTTATAATGCAAAATATGAAATAAAAAGTTTACTTACGGTTACAAACTGGTTGTTTTCTAGCTTGATGATGTCTCCTACCTGGACCTCCATCCATTTCTCGCTCCGTAGCCTGACAACAAATCACAAAGTTAAATTTAGCTTCAGAAAGTCACAGTGACTGTCGGCTGGAAACAAGAGTTTTTCTATTTTTATGCCAGGAAAGAAAGCGTCTGACGGATGATAAACAAACCCACTCTGACCCTAAAGGTCACACCGATACAAGCCACTTTCCCCCTGCTGGTTCCTGCTGGTTCCTGCTGGTTTCCTGTATGACTCTGTTTGTCCGTCTGCCAGAAACGCAGAACGTTTTCCGATCTTAGACGGAGGAAATAGGAGCGTTCGTCAAAGCATCAGGGATGAAAATGATTCTGTAACTTCAGTTCGTCTGTTTGGAGACAAATGTTTGTCTTTTTCTCTGTAAGTTGAGCAAAAACAACCTGGCAGGATAAAACTGGGAAATATTTAGTTTAATTTGCTGCATTTTGGTTTTGTGAGTCATAACCTCAAATTCCTGCTTTGTTTTTTTATGTTTTACATATTAGTGTATCGGTTTTCAGAACAAACGCAAAGTCCTTTTCTTTTAGTTGTATGTTATTCTTGTTGAACTTTCTTTGCTTTAACTCCCCCTGGCACGGGTTTAAACACAGGAAGTAAATTATTTATAACACAAGCCGTCCTGAAAGATAAGCACTGTGACGAAACAGAGGCTGGGTTTCCCTAAAACAGGAGGAACATCAGCAAACATAAAACCAGTTCTAGACTGAGCAGCACACCTGGACAGGTTCAAGACGAGCCAAATCTGAGTCAGTCTGTATTTTTATGAAAGTCTGGAAGACAACATGTCAACAGGAAGTAAACACAACGAGGCGACAGCAGCTGTGGAGGAACAAAAACAGTCTTCAGTTCTGGGGTTTTTAGCCATTTAATTCTGTTTACAGATAATTCATAATTTTATTTGTTGTTTTGTTTATTTATTTTGTATATTTTAAATGTCTCCCAGTTCCAGTGTTTAATGTTCATAAGGATGTTCAATGATCTTTAAGAATCTGTTCTTGCATTATTAATACAATTTTATTACTTAAATACAGTGTCGGAACAACAACGTTATTATTTATGACAATAAATAATAATTTATCGTCCATCACAATTTGCCATCAGGCCCGCTCACTGATCCTATTTGGCTCCATATGCTGCCGTGAAAAAAATCAGATTCGAGTCACATTTTCCTGCTGAGTGACCGCAGTTTGTTTTATTTATTATTTTTTTTATCTCTGTCCAGGAATCAGCAGCAGGACGATGACCAGCATTTCTGTTTCCTGCCTGAAATCCCAAATATGTGAAATGAGTTGATTTTCACATCTGAGCTCCTCATGAATAATTTAAAGCTTTGTCTGCTGCTTATTTCACCTGTGGACAAACAACAACACCGTGACGGCAAATGGGAAAAAAAGTACATTTTAATAAGAAAAACTTACTTTCTGTCAATTAGTACTTCAACTTTTCTGTTGTTTACTTGATTGTCGCTCCTGTGGCGATTCTAGGAGACAGAAAGGAGCAGAAAGTGACAGCAGTCAGGCTACAGGAAATTAAATTTGTTTATTGGATCAGCTTTCTGATCAGACAGACCCATCATCACCGACTAACAGGCTGCATCAGGGCTTTTTATTGCATGTGGGAGCAGATATGTTACTGTAAATAACCTGGGAGAAAACCCCTGATGGACGTCTACTTCCCTTTTTTAAAACCTCGGATGATTGCAGCAACGATGAGGCCGGTATTGATCGTCTGGTTTCAGATCCGTCTGAAGACACGGAGGCGCCAACACAGAGTTTCCTTTGCAAATTTAGCCTTTTAAATATACATATCACTTAGTTTATTTAACGTAACAGACACACAGATCTGTAATTTAAATTAAGTAATAGAAATAAATAATATGAGCGCTCATAAAGCCTTGTTCTTAACTGGTGACATTGAGGTGAAGCCGATATTGAACTTTTCTGACCTTTGTTAAGCTTTTTTAAGTATTTTTTATTAAGAGAAATTCATTGTTGAAGGGTTTCTGAGAATCCCAGTGAGATGAAAGGTCTGGTTTCAGTGGAAACCAGTTGAATTAGTTTCCACTTAAGAAGTTAATAACTTTCAAAACAGTAACAAATACCTGACAGCAGTCAGACATTGAATGAATCTCCTTCCTGGCAGAGAAACAATGTATTTATTTTACTGTTGTAGACAAAAATAGTAATTTCAGCAAAGACTCATTTGACATGTAATTATCCACTACTGAAGCAACACTAAACTGCTCTGAACAAATGAAAAACATGAAATATTATAAATACAAAAACAACAAAGTCATGAGAAATGACGACTGTGTGTTTAGTCTGTTACTTCTGTCCAACTTAAAGAAGAATTACTTTGGATAAAAGTGATACAATCTGTTAATCTAAGACAATCCGCAACTTAATCTGAGGACGTTCTGCACACTTTGAGGATTAAATCCTCCTAATGAATCTTTCTCACAAAAACAAATTATATGCATCAGTTTCCTCTGAAAAGTCAAATATTTCATTGTTTCTAAGTGAAATATGAAAACAGCATCATTCCATTGTTACATTTTCTTCATTTTAATTGCGTCAAAGGAAACAGGACATGAGTGCAGCGCAGCAAAAACCCGATTGGTGCATCAGAGCAAATATTCAGAGGAAGTTTGATACGATCAGTTTCATCACACAAACTCAAGTTGACTTCTTGGCACCGTCTGTGGTGCCAGTTTTGAGAAAGTGTGACTCAAAACTTCCCCGTGTTTAATGTGTTCATTGTGTTTAATGTGTTCATTGTGTTTAATGTGTTTATTGTGTTTAATGTGTTTATTGTGTTTATTGTGTTTATTGTGTTTAATGTGTTTATTGTGTTTATTGTGTTTAATGTGTTCATTGTGTTTAATGTGTTTATTGTGTTTAATGTGTTTATTGTGTTTATTGTGTTTATTGTGTTTAATGTGTTCAATGTGTTTATTGTGTTTAATGTGTTTATTGTGTTTATTGTGTTTAATGTGTTTAATGTGTTTATTGTGTTTATTGTGTTTAATGTGTTTAATGTGTTTATTGTGTTTAATGTGTTCATTGTGTTTATTGTGTTTATTGTGTTTAATGTGTTTATTGTGTTTATTGTGTTTAATGTGTTTAATGTGTTTATTGTGTTTAATGTGTTTATTGTTTTTACTGTGTTCATTGTGTTTATTGTGTTTAATGTGTTCAATGTGTTTATTGTGTTTAATGTGTTCATTGTGTTTATTGTGTTTATTGTGTTTAATGTGTTTAATGTGTTTATTGTGTTTAATGTGTTTATTGTGTTTATTGTGTTTATTGTGTTTAATGTGTTCATTGTGTTTATTGTGTTTAATGTGTTTAATGTGTTTATTGTGTTTATTGTGTTTAATGTGTTTAATGTGTTTAATGTGTTTATTGTGTTTAATGTGTTTATTGTGTTTAATGTGTTTATTGTGTTTAATGTGTTTAATGTGTTTAATGTGTTTAATGTGTTTAATGTGTTTATTGTGTTTAATGTGTTTAATGTGTTTAATGTGTTTAATGTGTTTAATGTGTTTAATGTGTTTAATGTGTTTATTGTGTTTAATGTGTTTAATGTGTTTAATGTGTTTATTGTGTTTATTGTGTTTAATGTGTTCAATGTGTTTTATTGTGTTTATTGTGTTTAATGTGTTTTTGTGTTTAATGTGTTTATTGTGTTTATTGTGTTTAATGTGTTTATTGTGTTTATTGTGTTTAATGTGTTTAATGTGTTTAATGTGTTTATTGTGTTTAATGTGTTCATTGTGTTTAATGTGTTCAATGTGTTTTTGTGTTTATTGTGTTTATTGTGTTTATTGTGTTTAATGTGTTTATTGTGTTTATTGTGTTTATTGTGTTTAATGTGTTTATTGTGTTTATTGTGTTTAATGTGTTTATTGTGTTTAATGTGTTTAATGTGTTTATTGTGTTCATTGTGTTTAATGTGTTTATTGTGTTTAATGTGTTTATTGTGTTTAATGTGTTTAATGTGTTTATTGTGTTTATTGTGTTTATTGTGTTTAATGTGTTTATTGTGTTTATTGTGTTTATTGTGTTTATTGTGTTTAATGTGTTTATTGTGTTTATTGTGTTTATTGTGTTTAATGTGTTTAATGTGTTTATTGTGTTTATTGTGTTTAATGTGTTTATTGTGTTTATTGTGTTTAATGTGTTCATTGTGTTTATTGTGTTTAATGTGTTCAATGTGTTTATTGTGTTTATTGTGTTTAATGTGTTTATTGTGTTTATTGTGTTTATTGTGTTTATTGTGTTTAATGTGTTTATTGTGTTTATTGTGTTTATTGTGTTTATTGTGTTTAATGTGTTTAATGTGTTCATTGTGTTTATTGTGTTTAATGTGTTTAATGTGTTTATTGTGTTCATTGTGTTTAATGTGTTTATTGTGTTTATTGTGTTTATTGTGTTTAATGTGTTTAATGTGTTTATTGTGTTTAATGTGTTTAATGTGTTTATTGTGTTTTTGTGTTTATGTGTTTTACTGTGTTTAATGTGTTTATTGTGTTTATTGTGTTTATTGTGTTCAATGTGTTTATTGTGTTTATTGTGTTTAATGTGTTTAATGTGTTTATTGTGTTTATGTGTTTATTGTGTTTAATGTGTTTAATGTGTTAATGTGTTTAATGTGTTTAATGTGTTTATTGTGTTTAATGTGTTTAATGTGTTTAATGTGTTTAATGTGTTTATTGTGTTTATTGTGTTTAATGTGTTTAATGTGTTTATTGTGTTTATTGTGTTTAATGTGTTTATTGTGTTTAATGTGTTTATTGTGTTTATTGTGTTTAATGTGTTTATTGTGTTTATTGTGTTTAATGTGTTTAATGTGTTTAATGTGTTTATTGTGTTTAATGTGTTCATTGTGTTTAATGTGTTTAATGTGTTTATTGTGTTTATTGTGTTTAATGTGTTTAATGTGTTTATTGTGTTTATTGTGTTTATTGTGTTTAATGTGTTTATTGTGTTTAATGTGTTTATTGTGTTTATGTGTTTAATGTGTTTATTGTGTTTAATGTGTTTATTGTGTTTAATGTGTTTATGTGTTTATTGTGTTTAATGTTTAATGTGTTTTGTGTTTTTGTGTTTTTGTGTTTAATGTGTTTATGTGTTTTGTGTTTTTGTGTTTAATGTGTTTATGTGTTTATTGTGTTTATTGTGTTTAATGTGTTCAATGTGTTTATTGTGTTCAATGTGTTTATTGTGTTTATTGTGTTTATTGTGTTTATTGTGTTTAATGTGTTTAATGTGTTTTTTGTTTAATGTGTTTAATGTGTTTATTGTGTTTATTGTGTTTAATGTGTTTATTGTGTTTAATGTGTTTATTGTGTTTATTGTGTTTATTGTGTTTAATGTGTTTATTGTGTTTATTGTGTTTAATGTGTTTAATGTGTTTATTGTGTTTAATGTGTTTATTGTGTTTAATGTGTTTAATGTGTTTAATGTGTTTATTGTGTTTAATGTGTTTATTGTGTTTAATGTGTTTATTGTGTTTATTGTGTTTATTGTGTTTAATGTGTTTATTGTGTTTATTGTGTTTAATGTGTTTAATGTGTTTATTGTGTTTAATGTGTTTATTGTGTTTAATGTGTTTATTGTGTTTATTGTGTTTATTGTGTTTATTGTGTTTAATGTGTTTAATGTGTTCATTGTGTTTATTGTGTTTAATGTGTTTAATGTGTTTATTGTGTTTATTGTGTTTAATGTGTTTATTGTGTTTATTGTGTTTAATGTGTTTATTGTGTTTATTGTGTTTAATGTGTTTAATGTGTTTATTGTGTTTATTGTGTTTAATGTGTTTATTGTGTTTAATGTGTTTATTGTGTTTATTGTGTTCATTGTGTTTAATGTGTTTATTGTGTTTAATGTGTTTAATGTGTTTATTGTGTTCAATGTGTTTATTGTGTTTATTGTGTTTATTGTGTTTAATGTGTTTATTGTGTTTATTGTGTTTAATGTGTTTTGTGTTTATTGTGTTTAATGTGTTTATTGTGTTTATTGTGTTTATTGTGTTTATTGTGTTTAATGTGTTTATTGTGTTTAATGTGTTTAATGTGTTTAATGTGTTTAATGTGTTTATTGTGTTTATTGTGTTTAATGTGTTTATTGTGTTTAATGTGTTTATTGTGTTTATTGTGTTCATTGTGTTTAATGTGTTTATTGTGTTTAATGTGTTTATTGTGTTTAATGTGTTTAATGTGTTTAATGTGTTTATTGTGTTTATTGTGTTTAATGTGTTTAATGTGTTTATTGTGTTTATTGTGTTTAATGTGTTTAATGTGTTTATTGTGTTTAATGTGTTTATTGTGTTTATTGTGTTTATTGTGTTTAATGTGTTTATTGTGTTTATTGTGTTTAATGTGTTTAATGTGTTTTTGTGTTTAATGTGTTTAATGTGTTTATTGTGTTTATTGTGTTTAATGTGTTTACTGTGTTTAATGTGTTTATTGTGTTTATTGTGTTTATTGTGTTCAATGTGTTTATTGTGTTTATTGTGTTTAATGTGTTTAATGTGTTTATTGTGTTTAATGTGTTTAATGTGTTTATTGTGTTTAATGTGTTTAATGTGTTTATTGTGTTTATTGTGTTTAATGTGTTTATTGTGTTTAATGTGTTTATTGTGTTTAATGTGTTTATTGTGTTTATTGTGTTTAATGTGTTTATTGTGTTTATTGTGTTTAATGTGTTTTGTGTTTAATGTGTTTATTGTGTTTATTGTGTTTATTGTGTTTAATGTGTTTATTGTGTTTAATGTCTTTAATGTGTTTATTGTGTTTATTGTGTTTAATGTGTTTATTGTGTTTATTGTGTTTAATGTGTTTATTGTGTTTAATGTGTTTAATGTGTTTAATGTGTTCATTGTGTTTATTGTGTTTATTGTGTTTAATGTGTTTATTGTGTTTAATGTGTTTAATGTGTTTATTGTGTTTATTGTGTTTAATGTGTTTATTGTGTTTATTGTGTTTAATGTGTTTAATGTGTTTATTGTGTTTAATGTGTTTATTGTGTTTATTGTGTTTAATGTGTTTATTGTGTTTAATGTGTTTAATGTGTTTATTGTGTTTATTGTGTTTAATGTGTTTATTGTGTTTATTGTGTTTAATGTGTTTAATGTGTTTAATGTGTTTATTGTGTTTATTGTGTTTAATGTGTTTATTGTGTTTATTGTGTTTAATGTGTTTAATGTGTTTATTGTGTTTACTGTGTTCATTGTGTTTATTGTGTTTAATGTGTTTATTGTGTTTATTGTGTTTAATGTGTTTAATGTGTTTATTGTGTTTACTGTGTTCATTGTGTTTATTGTGTTTAATGTGTTTATTGTGTTTATTGTGTTTATTGTGTTTAATGTGTTTAATGTGTTTATTGTGTTTATTGTTTTTAATGTGTTTATTGTGTTTATTGTTTTTAATGTGTTTATTGTGTTTATTGTGTTTAATGTGTTTAATGTGTTTATTGTGTTTAATGTCTTTAATGTGTTTATTGTGTTTATTGTGTTTATTGTGTTTAATGTGTTTATTGTGTTTATTGTGTTTATTGTGTTCATTGTGTTTATTGTTTTTAATGTGTTTATTGTGTTTATTGTTTTTAATTTGTTTATTGTGTTTATTGTGTTTAATGTGTTTAATGTGTTTATTGTGTTTAATGTCTTTAATGTGTTTATTGTGTTTATTGTGTTTAATGTGTTTAATGTGTTTATTGTGTTTATTGTGTTTAATGTGTTTAATGTGTTTATTGTGTTTAATGTGTTTATTGTGTTTACTGTGTTCATTGTGTTTATTGTGTTTAATGTGTTCATTGTGTTTATTGTGTTTAATGTGTTCATTGTGTTTATTGTGTTTATTGTGTTTAATGTGTTATTGTGTTTATTGTGTTTAATGTGTTTAATGTGTTTATTGTGTTTATTGTGTTTATTGTGTTTAATGTGTTTATTGTGTTTATTGTGTTTAATGTGTTTATTGTGTTTATTGTGTTTATTGTGTTTAATGTGTTTATTGTGTTTATTGTGTTTATTGTGTTTAATGTGTTTAATGTGTTTATTGTGTTTAATGTGTTTATTGTGTTTATTGTGTTTATTGTGTTTAATGTGTTCATTGTGTTTATTGTGTTTAATGTGTTTAATGTGTTTATTGTGTTTATTGTGTTTAATGTGTTTAATGTGTTTAATGTGTTTATTGTGTTTAATGTGTTTATTGTGTTTAATGTGTTTAATGTGTTTATTGTGTTTAATGTGTTTAATGTGTTTAATGTGTTTAATGTGTTTAATGTGTTTATTGTGTTTAATGTGTTTAATGTGTTTAATGTGTTTAATGTGTTTATTGTGTTTATTGTGTTTAATGTGTTCAATGTGTTTAATGTGTTTAATGTGTTTATTGTGTTTAATGTGTTTATTGTGTTTATTGTGTTTAATGTGTTTAATGTGTTTAATGTGTTTATTGTGTTTATTGTGTTTAATGTGTTTAATGTGTTTATTGTGTTTATTGTGTTTAATGTGTTTAATGTGTTCATTGTGTTTATTGTGTTTAATGTCTTTAATGTGTTTATTGTGTTTTGGTAAATAATATCTTACAAATTTTATCTCAATCACCATGACGACGACAAAAAGATCAAAGTCCTTTATTATCCTAAAAGTTTATAAAGACTATTTTCCACCCAACGTGAAAATTTGTTAAATTGAAGTCAAATGAAGCTTGTAAAACTTTTCAAAACTGTCCAAATATTCCTTCAGTGTTTGTTTAGGTCTGGGGTGTCCAAAGGGAGGCGCAGGGGCCATTTTGTGGTCCATGGACTGATTACATGGGACTTCAGTTCAGGAATGATACAAATTTGGGTCACAGATGTTCTTGCAACAGAAATATTTGTCTTTAAATTACCAAATGTTTTATATTCTCCAGTAACTTTCACTTTTGCTAAATTGATTGGTTTTTTCCTATTGATACCCAGAAACTCTGCAAAACTACTTTCAATGAGGTAAACTTGCAAAGAGACAAATCTGCTAACTTTATTTGTTTACTTAACATTTATCCTGCTCAGTTTAAGGGTGAGTTGGTAAAATAACATTATTTTTGGCCCTCAAGTCCTTTTTGTTTCTGTCTGCTGAGCTAATGTTCAACCTGCTAAACGAGCCACTTCCTCCTGAGTGCTACCTCATCTCTGCGTTACTCCCTCCAGTCTTAAACACATTAAAGGAGAACGGATCAACCGGTGCTTCACAGGCCCGTTCGCTTCTGTTCTGACTTTCTAATAACCATTTTTGGAGGTTTTAACCCTGAAAAAAGAGGAACTGTTGCTATTTCATAATAAGTTTCAACTCCCAAATGACATAATTGAAGTAGCAAAGGAGAAGTGAAACTCGGAAAAGACGAGTTTGATGAAACATTTACACAAAATCTCATGACCAACAATTTAAATTTGAAGCTCTGAAAGAAACTTTTATGGTTCTTATGGAGAAAATTAGAATAAAATCTGGTTGCCAACTGTTAGTAAATAGCACTAAATGGCAGAATGAACGGCTGTTTGTGTTTACAGGTTGTTTTATGATGCAGTTATCAATATTACTCAAGTCACATCTAAAGTAAATGCCTCTAATTTCTCGTCTTACGTTATGGTAACATGACTAACCAAACGGATGGAGAAACTGCGGGAAAATCGTGACGAAGTCGTTCAACTCTTACGCAAACAGCAGACAATCAGCGAAATCTGTTTCACCACCATTTTACTGATGGTCATTTTACTGCATGATTCACTGGGTGTGTCGACGACAAGCAACAGACTCCAGCTCTGTCCGTTTATCCAACACAGAGTTTCAGGAATCAGCCGATGCCCAGAGACACTCCAGTCCTGAGACCTTTATGAGAAAAGACGTCACTTCCTGTTTGCGGTACGATGTTTTTCCAAGGAGAGCCTCCGAAGAGAGAGGGGTTCAGGATACAACATCTTGTCAAATTGTAGAAACTAATCACAAAGTTTTGTTGAGATGTAAAAGTGTAAAATGGCAGGAGTCATGCTTGGAGGCAGTTTATGGTGTTTCTTTCAGAGTGTGTCCATCAGACTGTTGAGTTAGAGAACATTTTTAAGGTCTTTTCACACCTGACAGTACAGTAGACTTGGTTTAATTAGGGACCAAAACTGCAACATTTTTGCATTTTTAGCTGCTGTGTTTTTTTTCTTACTGCTTTGAGTCAAACCAACCAAACTCTTTGAAAAGCCTGTTCCCCTCCTCACCTGTGGGGGCGCTGCACCAAGAACCACTGACGCAAATGACACAAAAACAAAAACCACTGAGGGCAACTTCTTTCTTCACAAAACGGAAACAAAAATAGAGCGACATCAGATTTTAGCGGTTGTAGGATTTCTCTTTTGTCTTTGGTAAAAAACCACAAGGCATTTCTCCAACTAGCTGTGTTTCTGGTGTTTACCCAGAATTCCTTGCGCTGCAGCCCACTTCCTGCTTGGTGTTCACACATACGTTCAAACCGCACCAGAGTTCACTTCAACCGAACTGAGCTCTAGGCTTTTAAGTGTACCTAATAGTAAGGCCAATGGAAACGCAGCTTCAAATGTGAAATATTTGATCTAGGAAAGGTAACAATTATGTCACTGCAGAGAGTTTAGACTCTCGTACTTCTTCAAAAGGAAAAGGAAATATCTGGAAATCTGCTTACGATGTCGTCAGTTGCGTCCTTAGCAGCGGTGACCGTCAGCACGAGGGCGAGAGGAACGACGGTGGTGAACCAGGACAGGGAGGAGATCTCAGGAATCAACTGGACACACAGACAACAGTTCAGTCCTTCAGAAATATGAAAAATGTTCCTGCCAGCACAGATGAACATTTTTTATCTTTGTTTCTGGCAAGAATTCACTGATAAGCATCATCTTGAAATTGAAATTTGTAGTTATAACACCAAGTATTTCTCTTATTAGCCACACCTTTTGCTTTCTCTTCAGTTGATAGTAAATTAAATCATGAATAATTAGACTGGGGAACATTTTGCCTTAAACTTTCAAGCTAAAGAGCGACAGGTTAGATACAAGACTTTTTTTAAACAATGCAGCAATCATATAAAAAACTTGCAGAACTATATGCCTTCCCCTTAATTTAACATTTCTGCATATTTATTATGGTTAAGACTAAAAATATTCACAACAAATTTAATTTTGAAACTCTGATTTCCTTTAAAAGACTTTCAAAATAAAGTGGTAACTTTCATGTTGTAATTAAGAGCAATTTATTATGTTTTCTAACCCAGATCTTTGCTGGAGCTGCAGCAAAGTCGCTGCTTGCGCTCGATGAGGTAACTTCCTGTGCTGCATATCACACTTCCTAAATTTTCTGTGTTTTTTTGAAGCTTCAGCCTGAGAAACGTCTCTCAGTGAAGCTGAGAGTCGATTTGTAAATGCTGCGGCCGGTTCGGGTTTCTGACATTTCTGTTGCTTAGAGAAAAACATTTTACTGACAAACAGCAACATAACGTCCGGATCTTTGAGACTTTTTCTGTTTGTCTGTCTTTAATTTCACTCCTCCCATATTCAAACGGCCAAATTCAAAAACAACTTTTAAGCACATGGTGAACACTATGTCTAGATTTCAGGATTAAAATATGTATTTTTTATTAATCTGATATAATATCCAATCTTAAATGTTGGGTTTTTATTAGCAGAACATCATAATAACTTACTTCATCAAAGGCTGCGTATATTTAGTCAATATATAGTCTATATTCTTAATTAATCTGAATGATTGAACTGTGCACAAATGGAGCTCAAACTATTTTAATATCCTTTGGTTATCCCTGTTGCTGCTGCACACTTTTTCCTTCCATTCAACTTTCTGTGAATAAACTTTGTAATAAATCAGGATGAGGAATCAAACTGCAGATCTTCAACAACTGAAGCAGGACTCTCTCTGCTGAGCTGCTGCACGTAACACTGTGGTGAGCTAGCAAGTCAGGAAGCCACAGCCACATCTTTAATATTAAAAAGCCTCTGCATTACTGCAAACCATGATGAAAAACATGCCTTTAAACCTCGACTGACACAAAGAGATCAATTCAGTTCATTTTACTTCAAATAAGAGACGTTTGGTTCATTTATGTCACCAGTTTATGACAAATATCCAGTAGTTTTGGTAGTAAAAACGGTCAGAATTATTTTAACTATTAAAATTTTGTACTAGCAGAAATATAAAACTTTTTAATAATAAAATTATTAGACTATTAATAATTACTAACTTGTAACCCAGAGGTTAGCTGCTAGGTTACAAGAGGTTAGCTTACCTTGTAAGTTAGCTTGTTAGCTAACTCACCTTTAAGATAGCCAAGGTAAAAAAAACAAAAACAACAATCACTCGAATAAGTGAAGCTTTAAAGCTGCATGTATTAAAAATTTAATTTACAAAATTTATTTTATTACCAATTGATCAGTTTAGTTTTTCTTCATCTATCAGTGATTTAATGAAAAACAAAACAGTTGAAATATTTTTGACATTTGTAAATAAACTGAACTGAAACATATTTTTGCTGAAATTAAGTTGAACTGATTGAAGTTTGTTTCTCTTTACTGAAAAGAATCAAATGAATGATAAGTGATGCTGTTTCGTTAAGTCAGTGACGTTTGAGCGTCTTGTTGCGTCTGACCTGCAGCACCAGCAGAACCAGGAAGTAGGCGTTGGCGATCCTCTGGAACTGTTCGAACAGGTTGAGAGGAAGGAAGGTGAAGAAATTGTACTTGGAGGTCTTGATGGCGTTTGTCTGCAAAAAGTTAAAGTTCAAGAAAACTTTAATTAAAAAGACTCCAGTTATGTTTGGAGAGACATAACTATCATTTTTGTTCAAAATTAGAAACCAAATAAACAATAAAGGAGCTTTGAAATTGGCAATAAAGATATTATGTTTAAATGTAAAGAAATTCAACAAGTCTGTGTTTAGGTCAAATTTTTGTTGAGATGTTTTTCCATAAATATTCTGAATTACTGACAATTTAATAATACATTTTTAATTTCACAAAGTAACATTCTATTTTTGGGTTACTTCTTGATTGAATGTTTTTTTGTTCCACTGAGAGACTAAAGCTATTTTTCTCTCACCATCCAAAGCATTTCCTTAAATCAGAGACCTAAAGAAGTAATTTAGGGTCTAAATATGTTGCTTCACAGCTGAAAGGTTTGCTGGCCATCACATTATCACTGGATCTTCATGCTAACAGCACCACCAACACCCAGGACAGCTCTGCCCATAAATGAGGGGAAATGGGTGTTTATTCCACTGTGAAGCAGTATGGAGGACAGATTTATCCAGTAGCATGAGTACTGCCGTTTCATAAACTTTATTTCATTAAAAACTAGAGGTTTGTTTGGTTGTTTTCTCGGCTGCTCCTCTAGAAAAGTGCAGGATTTGCTGCTGACTACAGCAGGACATTCTACCTTCAGCTCTTTGGCTGACATCCAGTCTCCTGATAACAACCAGAACCAGACACAAACAAATCAAGACACGCCTGAAATGGCTTTTTCTCTCTGCATACAGACAAAATCATCACTTTTGTCTTAACGGTACACACTGCCAGAGTCACAAAAGTAGAAAACAATAGAACAAACATGCAGCGACTGCAGGCACTCACTGCGTATTTAAAGGAGCGGTTGTACTCTCTGTCGTTGGCTCTGAGTTTCCTCTCCAGCTCCGCTTTAAAAAGACAAAGAAACTATTATTGTAGGAGAACCATTTATAAAATGATGTTTAATGCAGAACAGATGTATAAAAGGAAGGAAACTTCAAAACAAACAGCAACATCACATTTAAATCCAACCCTCCTGTGACTGTTAAGATAATAGAGCATTCATGTTGCTCTATTCATAACTTTGGAAAAAATTTGGAAAAAACGAGGTCAAACCCAAATATTTCAAGTGTTTTTATTCTTCCCAAATGAATTGGCTTTTTGGAGGCGTAAAATATAAGAGAACTCACCATATTTTACAAACTTGTGTGAAATCTGCAGATTTTAAGGGTTTTATACACCACAGACACAAACAGATATTTGCTGTATGGTATGGAAATTTATATGCTTGAAGAATTTCCAAAAACTTACACAAAACTCTCTTGCACTCTGACACAAACAGGAAGTCGGCCATCTTGGATTGAAGTGCAATTCTGATGGATTTGGATGATTTTAGTCTCTCCTCCTCAGAGATTTTGATTGATTGTTTGAAATTTGGTGAGTTTGCTCAAAAGTTACAGGAAATCCGAAATTATTAAAATTCTGACCTTTTGTGCACGGTGAAGAGGCGTGGCCAGGCCTCAAACTTTGACTAGACACCATAATAATAATGACTGCTATAACTTGTCCCAGAGGTTTGTTTTATTTTGAAAGGTCTGTTTGACTCCATATCAAATTGTGCCAAGTAACTTTGTGTCATACATGCTTCATCTGAATTTCATTAAATAGGAATAATAACAGGATTCAGAGTCATAATTTGGATTTATTTGAGCTTTTCCACACATAATGAGATCAGAGCTTTGCTATGGCAATGACAAAACATTGACTTTGTTGTTGCTAAGCCACCATGAAGCTAATTTGTTGGTACACTTTGGATCATTGTCTGTTTCAAATACCCATGTGAGCCCAAGATTAGACTTACCAGCAGGTTTCTTGAGATGAAGCTTTAATATTTCCACATAATTTTTCTCCCTTTGGCAGCAAAAACACCCACGCAGCATCATGCTGCCACACCCAAACTTCACCCTGGAGATCAGTGCTTTCAGCACTGGGATTTCATTTTTATTTCACCTTATTGAAGGATTATTATGGCCAAATGCTTTAATTTTAGTTTCATATCAACAGGCAACATTTCTAACATGTCGTTTCTTGCACTGATGGATTCTTCTTGATGTTCTTTAATGTTAAGAAATGTTTTATGAATCCATTCTGCAGTCATTTTGTTGCTTTAGGAATTGAACATTTTACAGAAATTAGATTTCAAAGGTTTTCAAAGATTTATAAACTTAAAAACGTTTTATTTTGTTGGATTAACAGCGTCAGTAAATAATGTGAAGATTAAACAAAAACAAAACAACCTTGTAAATGAAACGTCTGTGATAAGTTTAGGAACGTGTGTAAACTGATCCTAGACATTTATTTACATTCATATGTAAAATAATCATAATGACACGGACATCCACAGCAAATTAACTCCAATGTCAAAGAAAATTTGCTAAATTATTGAAATATCTGTAGAAACTGTCGCGCTTACCTCCCTCAGACTTTGGGAAACAGTCCAACCCAAAGAACGACATCTTCTCTTCCTCCGTTATCTCTCCATCACAACAATCTGAGGAGGAAACAGACATCAAATAAAGTCTCATTAATTACATTCATTTAAATGATAGGACTTCGTCTCAATTCTGTTTAAATGCATACAACCTTTATTAAAAATATGTTACTGCAGCTTTAAAGCAATCGTTTGCTCTGATGTTTCCCGTTTCCAGCTGCTCCGTCTTTACAACCTTTTCCATAATGTGCTTCATGAGGTAATCGTTTCCAACAGGGAACCTTTAAATTTTCCAATCTGCAGCCTCATTTCTGACCTAAACAAGCCGTTAAAGGTCCAGACGTTGAAATGTCAAAGTTTTTTGTCAAAGGGAGAAAATGCAGCACAATCCCAGTTTACACTGGTTTAATCAAGAAGCAATAAATCAATTCATCACATGATAAATTAAAAAGAGGTCAATAATTTCCATTTGCATGATTTAAAGTTTTTTTTTGAGAATAATTTCTAATACAGAGGCTTCCTAATTCATTTTATTTGCTGTTTCTGCTTTATTTATTTGGGATATTTAAAATGTCTTCCAGTTCTAGTGTCAGATATTCAATATAATTTAAAGTTTACAATTAAATATATCTGTGCCTTGTGCATTTTTGATAAAAAACACCCGCTTTTAAATTTTTTAAATTTTCACTTATTTTTGTATTTATATTATAGTATATATATTTTTATTTATTTATTTTGGTTTTATTATTTTGTTTTATTAGATTTTTTTATTGAGTTGATGTTTTTAGACTCTTATTTTCTCATTTCTTATTTATTTTTGAGGTATATTTCATGCATTTTGAGGTTAACATTATTGCACCTAGACATTTGTAAACACCTTTATTCTGTATGGCAAAAAATATAAAAAATGTTCATCAAAAAACACATTTATTGTTTCGGAGTAACAAGAGGCGGGTCAGCAGAACTTAAAGAGTAGAAAATATTTTTACACATGTAGAAGTAAAAGTGAAGTAAAACTTCAAGAAGTAATGTTCTTGCACAAAGTTACAGAAGTGAATAAAATATAACCCTCTATCCACCGCTGCCCTGTGATAATGACTTGTTAATAAACTCAATGTTGTTAAACGGGAACAACTTTAACTTGTTTCCTCAGCTAAACTGTTTCTAATCAAATAAACCAGAGAAACGAGGAAAAACAGAAACTATAAAACTGTGAATAAAAGAGACAAACGAGTCCAGAAGTGAGGACACAGACTTTCAGGTCTTTACTTTTACTTTCCAGGATGATGTCAGACAGTGAGCTATAAATATCGGCCGTGTTAGTTTGCAGAAGAATGTGTGTGTTTCATCAGGCTGGAAACGCTCAGCAGCAGCAGCCAGTGTGGGGAAGGCGGCTTTTTAAAAATGTCACAGAGCAACTGGGGAAAAAAATGACTGGAAAAGTCCAGAAACGTCAGTAAAGGGAGTTTAATGTAGGTTGTTAAATCTGGGCTTCCCTGATGTGAGAAACAACAGAAAGAAACAAACAAAACAGATCCTTTAATTAACCAACGTTAGTCACAGTCAGGGGTCTGAAAACTGTTGTTTTCATATAATAAATTAATTTTTCATGACAGAAGGATGCTAAAAATACCAATTATATTGTTTTAGATTTTTTTTTGTCATTAAGTTGGAAACTGATTTTTTTTTCATTTCCATAAATTTCACACAGAAGGAAACAAATTCATCTTATTCTCTGCAAAAACAATTACATTCATCTTTATTTTAAAACCTAAAAACAGAAATAAACTGGGGTTCTCTAAAAATGATAAATAAATAAAAATACATATATCTGATGGATATTGATCAAAAATTTTATTTAAGGTAATGTAACATTTGCGGCTTTTATGCAGCTGCACTAAAAGCAAATATATTCATGTGAATTTAATAAAAATGAAATGAGGTACTTTTGTGGCCCTTTAATAGTGTGAAGTGACGTTAAATGTAAAGTTTAGGCTTTGAATTTGTTTTGGGTGCAGGAATCTCTGCTGGCATGAAAACATGAATTGATTAAAACGCTTCATAATTTGGTCACAACCGGATTTAAAAGAATGAAGAGGATTTTGGACTGGAGGAAATCAGATTTTTGAGTCAGAAACTCAAACAGTCAGAAAAACAAAACAAAAAATTTAATATTCAAAGTGTTGCAACGTCCTAGTCAAAGCCCAGATCTCAACATGACAAAAATTTCCATTGATGTTTGTGTTACAGAAGCTGGTTTTCACAAGGAAACTGTTTTTCTGATGAATAATGATGATGTCACAAAGTTTCTTACAACTTTATTAAATTACATCATCTATGATCTGAGAGGAAAATATAAAAATGCACATGCAGCTTTTTATCTTTCTTTTACAGGAGCGTCCATATCAGAGCTGAAAGAACAATGAAGAAATGGTGACTAATACGAAACAAAATGCAGTTTTCCTGTGATTTAAGCCCAGAAATGTTTTCTTCTAGATGTATCATCATCATCTCATGTGTCTTTGTGGAAATGGAGTCGTGATTATCATACATTACACCTCTAACTTCGGAAAGTCCAAACCTTTCAGTTCAGACATGCAGATTTTAATATGTATATTTAAAAAAACTATACAAAAATAATCTATTCTTTCTTTTTTTAGCACTTTCTGAGTCAATAATTCCTTTTTTATTTTCGCCACACAAAGGTGCGTAACAGTATCGCCGAGTCAGAGTCACCTGTGACTGGCTTTACAGGTCAGAGGTCACGCTCATGAATGGCGGTGCTGTCCCGTCACTGATCTCTTGTTTCTACGCTGCACACAGGCCTCCTTTATCGAAACCGACAGGAAAGCAGTTTTCTTGGGAGCGTGTGAGCACTGAAGAGTCATCAGCTGCTAAGACGCTGAAAGAAAGACTTCTTCCACATGAACTGAGCAAAAACAGATTCCACAGGTTTCTGTCGTTCGCAGCATCTATGTGGCACGTTTCCTCCTGAAGGTTATCAGATTTCCTTTGACTTTGCTTCTGAGAAGCTAAAATCAATGAGGCCTATTGTTCTGATTGGGTCACTGTTCTGACCAAACCAGAACAATCTGCTCGTCCTCCTGAGTCAGTCTGAATGTGACGGTGGTTTAGTTTGAGGTGAACACAGCAGATTCACAACCAAAATATGTTTCAGCTTCAAACAAACTCGTCTGGGACTAACGATGCATTCACACCGGCTCGGTTCAGTCTTGCTTAATCCAGCCTGAGGACTGGGCTGGGTGATCGAACTCTAACGCAAACTCTGGTCTGCCCAAAAAGCCCAGCCTCTGTTCGGTTGAAGGGAACTCTGGTTCGGTTTGAATGCATATATGAACGTGAGACTGATCCTAAAGCAGGAAGTAGACTACAGCGCATGGCATTCTGGGTAAATACAGCCAAACAAACGTACGAGTCTATTGCTAGAAGGCTCGCGATCTTTTACCAAAGATAAAAGATAAATCTTACAGTCGCTAAAATCTGATGCTACTCCAATTTTGTTTACATTTTCTAAAACTTAGCCGAGCCAATTCTCTTACTGGGTAAGATGAGCTAAGAGGAAATGTCCAGAGCAATAAAACTCAGAAATGATCCTTCCTACGGCGCACTCACTGCAGCTATTTATTCAGCTTTAATCCAACTCCAGTCTGTTTGTTTTTGTTTTGAGAGGCCGGGTTTATTGGAGAGATGGGAACGTGCGATCAAATTCACCAAAAAGGTGAACTGTGATCCATCTGCATTTCTAGGTCTTATTTTGGTTCAAATGAAATGATTTGATTCAAAATCTTACACCAACCGGACAACCAGGAGATGGACTTCAGCACAGGGCATTCTGGGTAAACAAACATGTGAGGCTAGCAGGACAGATGGCTCTGTCTCAAAATAGCAGTTTTAAAATGTATGCTGTATGTTTCTTTTTGTTTTTACCAAAAACAGAAGAAAATTCCTATAACTGCTCAAATCTGGACATTTTGGAGCATCGACCAAAAATAAAAATAACCTCCAAAGAAAATATTTCTGCTTTGATTTGAATATGAATCAAAATGTACTAAAAAATTTTAAAACAATTTTATTTGTTTTTTGTGATTTTTGCTTTATAATTTCATTGTTTTTTGGTTTTGCACTCTGTACTAAAGATTGTACTAAATCCTGCTTCTGTCTCTCCATGCCAACCTGGTCAGACATGCGTTTAGCTTCCTGATCAAAGTGAAGTACAGCAGAGGTTGTTTAAAGGGATTTTCCAACAGAGGACCAATCAGAGAGCGAGCCGCAGGAGGAGATACGAGCCTGAGGACAGCTGCAGCGTTTCCAGCATGTTCCCTCTCTGTTTCTTCCTGACAGCAAACAGAAATCTGCTTTTTAGAAAAGTGCAACAAGGCGAGAAGCGAGAAACTGGTGATGATGGGTTGGAAATGGTTCCAGTAAACAGTGGACCACTGGACATGTTTAAGGTTTCCATCCTCTACTGGAAACTCTGGTTCTGATTTCACAACGTCAAATGTCTTTCAAACATCTGGCTTCATATGAGAAATTTGAGTGTGTAGAGTTTCTACATTTAATTATTTGCCTCTCCAGGATGTAAGAACTGCAACAAATAAAGTCGTTTTCTTTCAGTGGAACGACTAAACGTGAAATTACCCATGAAATAAACAAAACGTGCAACAGGTTCCCTGATCCACGTCAAACAGAAAAGCAAAGGACTGCAAAAGCACATGTTCATAACTTTCATGTTATTTTTTTATAAAAGACGATCTAATCGTGCATTGAAGATCCTGCTGTTTGGTGATGCATTTAGAGTCCAAAAAAAAAGCAGGAGTTTTAAAATGTATGCTGTACGTTGCTGTTTTTAATTTTTGATTGATCATTTTACTTGTCGTTTGTCTTTCTGTGGTGAATTTGAATCTTTTTACAGATTTTTCTGTCACGTTAGAAATACTTCTTCTGTTTATGTTTGTCATGTTTGAAGCTGAACTTTAAACATGCCAGAACTTTTATTAACAATAAAACATGAACCTTCCTGTTTGAGGAAAGTGAAGATT